TGGTCAATTCATCGCATCTCAGACACGTTAATGTTATGTTTAATGATTCATTAGTAAATCTTTCAAATTTGTTCTTAATGTGTCCAATCTCATTCAGTAATTATGTATTACCAAATAAGGAAATATATCAGTCCTAAATTTGATATTACTGATTAGTTAATCTTGTTTCCATATTAGTTAATAGTAGTAACTGGCGTGTTAATGTATTATTCATTGTCCTGCATTACTTCCTGCATAGTTTTATTCATTAATGGTGGACCATTATTCTAAGGTGTTACCCAATGAATTAATACATATAACATAAAAAGTAACTTCTAAAAAACAAAAATAGTTCTTACCACAAAGGTTTCTGTTCAGTAAACGTTTCAAACCAGACTCTATGAAACCCTAATGAAAAACATCACTTCTTGGCAAATTGTTGAAAGGCACTCATAGAGTTGAATGCTGTTTGACCATAAGTCATGTAAAAGAACTCTTAATATGTTTGTATGCAGTTTTTATACAGTACTCAGACAAAATCTGCTGGGTCTCTGCAGGTATGGTCCGCTAAGAGGCTGAAGCTCCCATGCTCTATTCACAATGCTCTCTGATGTCTTTATGAAAATACGGCAGGTGTGGTTAATGATTGCAGTTCACTTTGTTTAGCTGGGTCATCTGATTTGAATTCCGAATGAGGCCTTTTTATCATTTCAAAGGACCATGACTGTTTTGAAATCAAATGCATTTTAGAGGTTGTAAGATTTTAAGATTATAAGGGCCACATGTATAATATGTATTCAAATTATAATAGCCTAATTAAAAAAAGCTTAAAAAAGCTGTTTTGTGGATTTATGGGTCGCACATTTTCCCAGTTTAGTAACTATTGACAACTAATTCTGGATCCTGGTTATTAATATCACACGGTCTAAATATCTGTGGCAGGTGGGTAAGTCTACAAATGTCACCCATAAAAAGCCTGTTTAGGTCAAGGTTTTGTGACCCTAGATCTACAAATAAGGTAGAGAACCAATTTACAATGTGTCAAGCAAACCGGTTCCCGCAACATGTCCGTTAATAAAGTTTATCATAACAGGTAGCGGCAAACAACAAAGGTGCTCACAAGAATTTACAAAACTATTCAGAGATCAAACGACACTATGGCAACAATAGTATGTCATCAGCATGACAGCTATGTTGTTTTACAACATATAAACAAAGACTGACAACATAATAGCTCATTTTGACAGGCTAGCGGGACATTTCTGACATTCATAAAGCGGCTATAAAATAAATCTGTGTGGGGGCTGAAGGAAAATATTCTAGCTTGATGTCTCGAAACCAAAACCAGGTGACTTCTAACACACTTTCCTACAGGTCTGTTTGGATGTGTAAGAGCTCACAAAGGGTGTATGTTTTTCTGTAGGTATACAGATTGTGCACATCAGTAAAAAAAAAAAGAAATTCGATTTAATTAAAGTCATTTTAGCATGCTTAAAATGAGTACTGGTTTCCAGTGGACTGTTCCTTATATTTTTACTTTAGAAGACTGTTTCAGGTTATAAGTAATTCCTAGATAATTATTTGATAATTATTTATTAATTACTAATGGCTTCCCTGTATTTTCACTTTAGAATACTGTTCCAGCTTCTAAGTAATTCCTGAAGAACTATTTAAAAGTTATTTATTAATTACTAATAAGTTCCTTATATTTTCACTTTAGAAGACTGTTTCAGATTATAAGTAGCCTAATTCCTGGATAATTATTTGACAATTCTTTATTAATGACTAATGGGTTCCCTATATTTTCACTTTAGAATTCTGTTCCAGCTTCTAAGTAATTCCTGCAGAATTATTTGATACTTATTTATTAATTACTAATAAGTTCCCTATATTGTCAGTTTCCCTCAGTCGTTGCCTCAAATACATGAATATACTCAGTGGCATTCTATGCTGAGGAAAACAGACACACACAGTACTGTATATAAAATATACAAATAATTTGAGGTTAGTTTTGTATGACTGTTCAGTAGTTACTTCTTAGTTATTTTTCTTGAACCTTAACCTTAGTAGATAATTAGTAGTAGTTCTTCAGGAGGTATGACAGAATTCATTAGTTATTGATTAACTAACTGATACTTAACACAATCATACAATTATATTACATACTAATTAGTTAACACATCTTCCCTAGTAGTTAACAGTAGTGAAGAAGTAGTTAATGAAGAATTACCTATTAGTTTCGTCAATAATTCCTCATTAATTCTGCAGTAAGTAAGAGACAGTATTCTAAAGTGTTACCCATAACTCTATCATGTTAGTACGTGTGTGTGTGTGTGTGTGTGTGTGTGTGGTGTGTGTGGTTGGGTGTGTGCATGTGTTGGTGTGTGTTGGGTGTAGAGGAAAGAATTCCTGTCAAATAAACTGCTCTGTCTCATTATATTGTGTGTGTTAGTATGTTGTATGGAGAAAAACAAAGAAAGAGAGAGGGTGGGAGTGAGGGAGGAAGGGAATTTGTTTAACGGAATGTCAATTTTCCTCTTCTCTTTACTCTCTCTCTCGAAAAAACAGATGTTTTGGTTTTGCATTGTCCATAATTTTAAGAGCTTGGTTAAGTCCCAAGCTTTCATAGTTTGTGCTTCATAGAGGAACTCTCATTAAAGAAATAATGGCTTAAATTATGCCTGTCATCTCTGTTTTTATGTGTGCTTTTAGCGCAAGCTTTAGTAGAACAAGTCTTGACAGTTGCTAAGTATTCTCCCTTGGCGAACCAAAAAACAACACAACTAGAAACTCAACCCCAGGAGAGAACGTATTGTGCTGTCATTTGGTTTGTACTGCATATGTGTGTGTGTAAAGAGCAAAG